GGACCCCTCTTGACTTTATCATGGCGGTACTACATAGGGGTCAGGGGGGCAGTTGACCCCCCAAGAAAAAAAAAAAAATTTTTTTTGCTGTTTTGGCATAATATTTTTATAATATTATCTTTGGCCCCCCCAAAGGTTTTGTAAATATGCATTTTAACCTTTAATTTTTTTGTTTATTCTCTACAATTTTATATAAATTATAGATATATATTATATTTAATATAAAAATATAAAATAAAATGGTTAAAACTTGTACTATTTTAAATAAAATTTATGAATATTTACTTATCGATCTTTAATTTTTTATATCAATGTCTCTAAAAAATAATACGAGAAGTGCCATAAATCCCATTAAGTGCAATATATTATTAGAATAATTTAGATTTTTTTGTCATACTTGAAATATGATAAAATTATATATATATATATATATATATATATATATATATATATATATATATATATATATATATATATATATATATATATATATATATATATATATATATATATATATATATATATATATATATATATATATATATATATATATATATATATATATATATATATATATATATATATATATATATATATATATATAATTATATATATATATATATCATTTTAATTAAAAATTCGCAGTATAAACCTATTTTTTTAATGTCTGGTGAACCTAAAAAAATTTTCGGGGCGCTGCCCCGAACCCCGAAATTTTATTCCGCCCCCCCTACATTCTAATCCTGGTTCCGCCCCTGCCGGCTATGGATATTCACGGACAGTAACGAATGTTGGGGAGCCGAAATCGACTTACTATGCGAGTATAGAGAGTGTTCCAGGAGTGAGTGTAACTGTCGAGCCTAGAGTACTTAGCTTCACGGAGGTGAAGCAGCAGCTCACGTACGAGGTTTACTTTAGCAGAACAGGGTTTATTACAAATGGTTCGTATGTTCAAGGTTCCATTGCCTGGATTTCGACGAAGCATGTCGTCAGAATCCCGATTTCGGTGAAATTGGTTTTGTAATTGTTTTTTAAATAACAGATAATGGAAAATAAAATTGTGTTCAAGTGATCATGCAATGATGTGATAAATGTCATTTAGTATACAGGAAACCAAAGTGTAGGAAGACAAGTTCTTATGCTATTGTACCAATTCTGAACCAGCCTAGTCAAAAGATTTATTTATAGGAAGGTTATTTTATCTTTTTTTATTTATTTATTATTATAATTACAATGTTATTTAAAATCTATAGCATCGACAATGTTTATTTATTTCCTTGACATGTATTGATATTTATAAACAATGATATAAAATACTATTTAAAATTTAACTTCTCTTAATTCTCGGTTCCGGAGAATCGGCAACTGGAAATCGGACGAATCAGATCAGAGTTGACTCTTTCGGAAAATTTTAGTTTTTTTTTTGAAATTCCATTATTGATTCCGATTCCAAAAAAAATCGGAAAATCGGAATTTTTTCGGGATATTATTGGATTTTTTTTTGGAATATTTTTCAGATTTTTTTAAAAATATTGTTTTTTTCCAAAAAAATAACAAATTCGAAAATACTTAGAACATGTCGAAAATAATATCGGAAATAATCAGAAAATTTGAAACTATTTCGAATCGAAATTCCGAAGTTTCCAAATTTTGAAATATATATCCGATTCCGATCCTACTTTTTTGAAAAAATTCAGAAATCGGAATTTTGGAATTAAGTATTGAAAAAACCATTCCAAAAACGGAAATTTTCTAATCGAAGTCGGCGGAAATCCCAATTTTCCACTCAACATTTTGAGTTGAACCCACGTTGAAGTGATTAGATTAATGTAAATAGGTAATTAAACTAAAGCGGTTGACTCCACAATTTCTAAAATTACTTTTCTCCATTTACAGGAAATTGTACTGCGTTGTGTGTGAAAATGGTGACGCTCACATGTTCAATATGGTCGTTGCTGCACTTCCACTCTTCCCACTCCCTTTTGTTCAACCTTCAAAACACACACACACAGTGGCATAAAATCCCCTCTTTTTCTAGGCCAAAACCCCCAATTCAATTTCATCGCTAGGGTTTCCCTAAATTGAACCGCGGAAATGGAATCCCGCTCCCCATTTTCGCTATCCAATCTCTACAACAAGAAGGTAATCCAAATGAATTCTGATTGGGCTGTATTTTCTGAGTACATTAATTCATTAATTTAATCATCTGCGATTTTTATTTTATTTTTGAATTTTGTAGATTCTGGGAAGTGGGCTGTGGGTTGTTTGGATTTGTGGGTTCTTCTTGATTGGTTTCTCCTTCTACGGTACTCAAATGCTGCCCACTTTTCTGAAAGAACGGATCAAAGTCAAGAAATTTGACGATTTCAGCTCCCCGAAAATCACGATTTTCGCTGCGCCGATGCCGTTTGTTGGTTCAATAGGCGAAAGGCAATCTCTTGCTGTAAGATCATGGCTTGGACTGTCCGAAAATATAAACGTTGTTCTTTTCGGCCAAGATCCTTCTGTTTTCTCCTTTGCTGATTCATACGGTTCGCGGGTGTCCGTCGAATCCGGCATTGACTTTACGTTAGTATCTCTAAGCGTGTTCTTAAATTATTGTTCGATTACAGCACAAAACATATTGGTTTCTTGATCATTCTTTGTGAATTTTGCTTAAAATAGGTTTCTTGGTACCCCGTTTTTCCATTCAATGATCGCAAGATCTCTAGCATCAACGTCGGATATTTCTGCATTGGTTGACCCCGAGACAATTCTACTGTCAAACTTTTATTCAACTATGGAATATGCTCACAAGCTCGATGAAAACTGGCTCGTTGTCTCTTCATCACAAAATGTTTCTAATTTTCCTTTTCTCTTACACTCCGATGGGAAAAAATGGCTGGCAGATAACGGTAAACACGTTAGAATACAAAAGGTAGCCGAATTGCACAGTTCATATGTGAGCTCGATTTGGACAATCTTATATTAAAATTAGTCTTTCTTCCATCAGTTGCAGGAGTTTCTTGCTCGAAATTTTTCTTCGAAACCATGTGGAGATAAGATGATTATTGCATGGAACAATGGTGGCGATGTGCCACTTCACAAGGGGGTCCTCCCCCCCTTCTTGTACGGAAAGGGACTTCACAACCATTGGATTGTCACTGAAGCCTTGATCTCGGATTTTAGGCTCGTGATCGATGCAAGTTTGACTATTTCGAGTTTCTATCTCGATAATATTGACCCAGAGAATTATGTCTCGGGAAGAAAGTGGGAACTAACTGGAAATTCTCTTCTAGGAAGGCTTTACGGGTCGTTTTCTTTTCGAGAAGCTAATTGTTCTAATTTGTTCAGATTCTGTAAATGTGGTCGTAACTATCTTTTCGTTAATACACACCAAAACGTTGCGTATCCATTGGGATACAAGAGATCGCTGAACTTGAGGAACAAGGTCATCTCTTTATCATCAACGAGAGAGGAAATATTGAATTGCGTTGATGTGGTAAAATCACTCGAAGGAATCCAAGTGTGCTTTGCGAAAGAGCCGTTAAAACTGCTGACATCATCAATTTCGCTTTCTCTGTCCTTGGAAAATCTGTTGTCGATTCTCTCTGATAATAACAAGACAATTGTACTTGGAGTTGCTGGATACAGTTACAAGGATATGCTGATGAGCTGGATTTGCAGGCTAAGACACCTCCAAGTATCGAACTTTTTAGTCTGTGCTCTCGATCATGAAATATACGAGTTCTCAGTCTTGCAGGTGACTTGCTTTGATTATTAATTTTTTTTTTGGAAATTATTTTTTGGGGAAAATGTATTGGAAATTGCGTCGTTTACGTAGTCATATTATATGATGCTAGGGTTTGCCGGTTATCGATTGTGCGTATCGTCCGACAAACATCAGCTTCGATAACTGCCATTTTGGAACCGATTGCTTTCAGAGAGTAACTAAAGTGAAATCAAGAATGGTGCTGCAAATATTGAAGCTTGGATATAGTGTCGTTTTGAGTGATGTTGATGTATATTGGTTCAAGAATCCATTGCCCTATCTTACTTCTTTTGGTCCCTCGGTTCTCGTGGCACAATCCGATGAATACAATTCGACGGGTATTTTAATAAATAACTTTCGAGAAAAATTCCTGTAATATTTATATATGTATGCTTTAGAAATAACTGCAATCTTTTTATTTTTATTTGTTTATTTGCAGGACCAATAAACTTACCTCGACGACTTAACTCAGGCTTCTATTATGCTCATTCAGACAATATAACGATCGCAGCATTGCATAAAGTGGTCGAGCATGCAGCTAATTCCAACTTGTCCGAACAGCCGAGTTTTTACGATACGTTGTGCGGCGAAGGTGGGTCCTACAGATTAGGTGATAATCAGTGCTTAGAACCCGAAACAAAGTTGTTGGTTCATTTCTTGGATAGAGATCTCTTTCCAAACGGTGCATATCGAGGTCTGTGGGAGGAGAGAGATACAAAGAAAGCCTGTCTGAGAATAAATTGTTTTATTCTCCATAATAATTGGATTAACGGAAGAAAGAAGAAGCTCGAAAGACAGGTTTTATCTGGCCTTTGGGATTACGATATCAACACGAGAATGTGCTTGCAGAGCTGGCAAGGTAATATTAATACAAGAAATTATTTTTAGTGGAAAAAAAGAAAAACAAATTTGTCATGACAACTTTGTTATTAACGGAGGGTGGAGAAATCGAGGAAAGCTTTGGAGCTATTATCACAGGCTAATGCTAAAAGGGTTGAAGTATATTTTTTCTTATCACGAAAAAAATGTGTTCTTGTTTCCGGTCGAGCTCGAGGAGGAGAAAAAACGAGGGGCAAGAGGAAACTATTTCGTTCGGTGTGAGTGGCGCAAATCTCAGGGGTAAAACGGTCCGGATAATTCATGCGGGCGGGCGAATAGAGATGTACCCAGACGCAATTTCGGCATTGAAATTGATAGAGAAATATCCAGGTATGTGCATTGCTAGGCCCAATGTGTTCGAATGCGTGCACGAGTCCGTTTTAACTGGGGATGACATTTTATTGCCGGGGAATAAATACTTTATTGTTCGGTGCACTACTGTGGAGAAATTGAAACGCAGGCAATCGAGGAAACGGAGGATTTACGAAGGTGGTAATGGTGAGGGGGTGTTTAAAGAGTCGAACGAGAGTGAAGATGATTCGATTTCGATTTCTTCTGCTAGGGATTTTTTTGTGTCGAAAGAGAGTTGGTTGAATTGTAGAGTGACGAAACAAGTGAAAGAGAGGAAGAGAGCGTTTGTGCCTCCTATACAAAGGCCGAGGCTGTCGAAGGAACCCGAGTGGGAGCCGGGTCTAACTTCTATACAAGAGATTTCTCCATAAATATCTCTTCTTTTTTTTTTCGTTCTACGAATTTTAGTGGATTGTGTGCAGATTTGTGGTGCAAAACTACCAGGTACAGCATTTCGTTTCAAAATGAATAAAGAGAATCATTTCCAAAACCGAAATTCTTTGTTTCGAAAATCGGTTGAATTCAAATTTCATTTCGATGACAACAAAAAATATTCGACAGAAGAAAAAAAGATTAATACAAGAAAAAGTTCTGACACGTGTTTCCGATCGTGATTCAACGTCAGTTAAATCAGTTGAACCGAAAAAATTTACTGCTGCAGCTTCTCAATCTTTTATAAAAAAAGAAAAGAAAAAAGAAAATTCACCATGCAATGTACACACACACTCACAGTACATAGGATAAGACCTTGGTCAAAATCCACGTGTAAATAACTGCAAACGTGGCACCGGCAGGTATGGTAACCGCCCACGAGGTCACAATCTCCCTAACGGTCTCCGCCCTCACACTATTCAGCCCCCTCGCAAACCCTACCCCCATCACCGCCCCCACCAGCGTGTGCGTCGCCGATATCGGCAGCCCCAGCTTCGACGCCCCCAGCACCACCGACGCCGCCGCGAACTCCGCCGCGAAACCCCTCGTCGGTGTCAACTCCGTTATTTTCTTCCCGATCGTGGCAATCACCCGGTACCCCCACATCATCAGCCCCGCCACGATCCCGAACCCTCCCCACGCCAGCACGTCGTTCGGGATCACGATTTCTCCCCCCGTCATTCCCCCTTGCAAAATCGAGAGCGCCGCCGCCAAAGGGCCGATCGCGTTCGAGACGTCGTTTCCGCCATGCGCGAAGGACATGAAGCAGGCGGATAAGATCTGCATGTAGCCGAAAACTCCGTACACTATTTCTAGGTTTGTGCCTGTGGGCCCCGCTATGTCGGATAGGAATCCTATATTTTTGCTTTCCGATTTCGCCCCCGCTGAGTCGGCTTCTTCTTCGGCTGAGTTAGCCAGGAGGTGGCCTAATTGTTTCCGGATGGTTCTATCCACTAGGAATGCGCCAGCTGTCCCGGCGGATAGAGCTTGGGCGACGGCGATTGGGAGGGTTTTGCTGAGTGGGAATGCAGCGAATGAAATTCCGGTGACTCCGAGAAAAACTGCTATCGGTGCTGCTGCGGCGGCTGCTTGGCCGGGATTCGGGGCACTGTAGACAAACTGAGAGGTGTGAAAATTAAAGAGGGTTAGCAATTTTTCTATTAGTTTGAAATTTCAATAAAAAAAATGGGGTATCTTTTGGTGTGAAGAGAATATACCCTGCGAATGCATTTGTAGACGAGGAAAGATGCGAGTGCTCCGACTAAAGGAGAGACGACCCACGAAGAAGTTACCCTTGCGAGTGAACTCCAAAAGACGGCTCCGGTTCCTCCGTAAACGAGGCCGAATCCGACCATTGATCCTACGATGCAATGTGTGGTCGATACTGGCCAACCGTAGTACGATGCTACCTGGGAAACATATTGGAAAATTTACGAATTCAGACATGGTGGAAAATAGAACTCGAACCACATGTGTGTGTATTATCTCGATTCTCGATTATCCACCGGACTCCGAAAGTTTTTACTTGATGCTACTAGGCAAACCAATTACTGCAAATCACAGATTTAGCTATTCCCTTGAATGTAGGTAGAGCTTATGCTATTTGACAATTCGCAACGTGCTTCGTTTCGTTACAAAGTTCAAATCTTTCTATTCGTAACATGATTTGAATTTCTTGAAAAAAGAAAAAACAGAAACAAGGTTTAAGTGCTCTATATGATTCATACTTTCGAGAATTTCTCAAAACACGGTTTAGAACAAACTACGTAGCACGGAATCGAGAGATCCATGGCATATCGTCACACGATATACGAACACATGCTATTGTTAGAAATGAATTACACTATCAATTTTCGATCTTTCTTGAATATGTTTGCATGAAAGCCTAATTCTTAATACCCAACACACACACACACACATCCATGTTGGTGTGTGTAGACGATCGTTACACGATCTGCCTCAACGAGTGTAGTGGGCGTAGATTCGAGCACGTATTCTCTTGATTTAGACAGAATTAAGATCTCAGCATCAACTACTAACACAACAGTGTCCATTCAAAAAACTAGTAAAAAGAAAAAGGGTAAATTACAACCACTCCTGAGGTATGGTTAAATTACGAAAAAACCCCTCATGTTTGAATAATTACATTTACTCCTCAACTATGAATCTTCTAACACCTCCACTCCTATGGTGTCAAATTCAACATAATCATCTAGATTCCGTGGAATATGCTCTAGTTTGTACTCGTTTTGTGTCAAAATACAGTTTCCGATGCACCACAATCTGATATATACAAACCAAAAAACACATCTTATGATCATCTTGCTTCAAAATGTGAAGCTTGAATGGGATAAAACGGGTATAAAAGTGATAATATTCCATATAATCAACAAGATTCCACTAAATTTGAAACAACAAGGGTGGATGTATAAGAAAATTTATAGGCGAGGGGTTGTTGTAATTACCCAAACAGAAGCAGTTTTCGTAATTTTACCATACCTCGGTATGGTTGTAATTTACCCTAAAAAAATAATGAAATAATAAATAAATAAAGAAAGAAAGAAAAGTGAAAAATGAACCTGTAGCCAAGTACCAGCAGCAGCCAAAGAAGAGAGCAGCCCAGCAAAAAGCAGAGTATCTTTCCCTCTGAAAACATCAGCCACAAGTATCCCCTTCTGCATTGTACTAGTCACGTGCGTCCCCATCAGCAGCGCGCCGGAGAACTCCAGAACCGCCGCCGTCAGCACAGCCTGCCGGAGAGACAGGGCGCCGGAGCCCACCGACGTCCCCATCGCGTTCGCCACGTCGTTGGCCCCGATATTCCATGCCATGTAGAACCCGAACAGAAGGGTTGCGTACGACAAAGCTCGAGTCTTGAACGGCAGACCCTGCCCTAGGGAGGTCATGAACAGCGGCACGACCAGCGCCGCCACCGCTATGCAGACCGATATGGCGGAGGCGGTGCCGGAGGAAATGTGGAACGCCTGCGCCATGCCGCGCAGTTCTTCTCCGTCGGCGGCGCTTTCTTCTTTGGGTGGTGCGGAGTCGCCGTCGCCGTCGCCTTCGGCGAAGGAGGAAACGGCGGCGAAAGGGCGGGAGAAGCCATTGCTGCTTAGTGTGAGAAGTGAAAGAGATATTGGTTTGGTGATTGACTGTAGCTGGGGTTTTAGAGAGAGAAAGTCCCTCCTGAGACAATGGGGTTCAAACTCAACGGAGGGCCTGTAATTGGGGAGATAGATTTGAGAAGGACGAAACTGCAAGAATGTGTTTTTAGTGGAAGAGAGACTGCTGTAAGAAGAAGAAGAAGAAGTCATGACGACTTGATGAAGAGAGAGAAAGAAGAGAGAGAGAAAGAGAATATTTGGGGGAATTATTCGGCCATGGAAGAAGGTGGAGGGGGGAGAGTGGAGGATTTTGCATTTTCTTGATTTTTGGTCTGAATATTTTTGGTTGATCGGAACGAGTGGTGGAGAGATCAAGACTCAAAGTAGCCACTATATCCAATATATCCACTACTACTACATCATTTATTATTATTATGCTGTTTTACCTGAAAATTATCCAAACAAAAAATGAAGTGAGAGGATTGCATTTTTTAGTCCTAAACTTTACTCAAATTCCATTTTTAGTCTTCATGTTCTAAGATGAACAATTATTTTTTTGGGTCGTATAATAGCATGCAAACTATATGAAAGACGTAAACCACATTAGGTTAATCATGTGTGACAAGCTTCACCTAGCGGCCGGTGGTAAAAAGAATCGAACTTGGGTCAGTTGACCTAAGTTCACTTATTCTAACAGATATTGGTCATCCCTTATGGGACTGACTCAATTTACTTATTTGTAACACAATTGTGTAGCGCAGCGCACATGTAATATTTGTTCCAAAATGGAACTTTTTTTTGGATTGAAACCGATGGAAATCATATGTTTTTTTTTTTTTTTTTAAATCTCAACCTTAATTATATATTAACCGTCCTTAATGGTGCCTTTTTTTTCTTTTTTGTTTTTCTCCCACAAGAGTGTAAAGTAACCGTTACATTCTAAATTAGAGGAACAATTGTTTTAAATTGGTCTATTTGTTTGAATGGTTGTTAAGGATAAGGACATTCTAGCTAATTATAGATTATTTGTCACTCCCTGGTGAATAGTTAAAACAATGACTACACTTTTCTTGATTGAGAAAATGGACTTTTGTGGTGGATTTTTTGGGGAAGTAAATTGAGATTTAAGTGAAGGTAGTGGATGTACAATCATGTTGTTAAAAAAATAAAAAATTATTAAAGATATTTATGATATTTAGTATTTAAATTTATAAATAAAGGGATGAAATGAGAAGATTTGAGGGTGAAAATTGGAAAGCTAAACGCATAATTTGTGTCCCGTTCGTTATTCGAATATTCTGGAGAAATCGACATAAATGGAGACGAATGTTTCCATATCCTACCGTACTGCGTTAAACTGGGGTATATTTGCAATATAAATATTGAAGGACTATCATCACCAAATTGAGAAAATATGGGTGTCCTGATCTAATACAAAATTAGGTTTCTATACTGTTTAGCAAATTGCCCTATAAACAATACAATAGAGTACAACTATTAACACAATGCAAGGATTGTATAATAAAAAAATCTCGAACCAATATGCTAACCGAAACCCAATCGATCTTACCAACCAAATCGAAGGATAACAAACTCAGTCAAACTAAGGGGCGTTATTTTGTATGAAAAAAGTGAAGAAAACATCCAAGAAAGTGAATGTTTCTTCTTCAAATGCTGAAACTCATCAACTGTCATAACCGAATATTAAAACCGAAACGAACTACAACTTAGAACACCTCTGCCATTGATAAACATCTGATCGACAAAATCAGGACTGCCATAATAACAAACCTTATAGATGAACAAACAAAACTTAACTTTTACAGTAAAGAAACTGTACCATAAAATCTCGAGCAAATATGTCCGTTTCTCCCATAGTTTGAATTGCTCCACAGCATTCTTTTCCTACTTTCGCCGCCGATGTACGGGTGATCTCGACCTTGATAGTGATCTTTTTCCCCTGAGATTTTGGATATTCAATATGTTCATGCTAATGACGAGTGTAGAGTTTATAGTGCTAAGAAGTAAACTTTTGTTTCACCTGAGTTGCGTATTGGCATTGTTGATGAGTGGACAAGTGTCGAAAAAACTAGAAAAATCTAATGAGAGAGACTAGAATAATACCTGGTGGTCTCAAGAGAAGAATAAGGAGAATGCCTGCGCTTAGAGTGCTTGCTATGAGGAGACCGCGAAACTTGTCTAAAACGAAACATTACATACTAAGCCAGTGAGTAAACAACATAAAAATTACTCGTTATTTTTTCAGCGTTGTACACATCTAGACTTCAAATAAAGAATCTAGCTGTTGGCATAACAATTCTTCTGGTGAGACAAACATAACAATCACAGGTTAGGCGTATACCAGAAATAACAGTGCTACCACACATTTTTTTCTGCTAAGAGAAGCAGCTATTGCCGAAGATAAATCCTTGGAAAGAAATTGAGAATAAAGGCTTCTTATAAGCATATAGAATTTTTGCACACACACACACATAATCTTAACAAAAATGTCAGCAACATTTTTGGGGAAATACCTTTTTCTTGATCTGATGGGTGACGGAGACTTGCGTCTTTTCGAGTGATGTGATTTTCTGCCCACAAAAATATATGTTATAAGAAAAATGGACTGAAGATTCTAAGAAAAGGGTAATAATTTATTTGTCCTAAGAACACACCTTTTAGAATCGTCTGACGACTCATCGCTAGAATGATTTGCACGACTAACCACCGAGCGATCCTTGCTCTCTCTACCCCTGTCACCAACTGAAGACGAACGATGTCGTTTATGTCGGCTAGATTCACCTCCGCTTTTATGTCTGGATCGGTCTTTTTTCTCATCCCCTGTTCTACCATGTCTTTTATCATCCCCTGTTCTATCATGTCTTTTCTCATCCCCTGTTCTATCATGTCTTTTCTCATCGTTATCTTTTCTACCACTAGTTCTACTGTCTCTTTGTGTTTCAGTTGTTCCTTCCTTGCCGGAAGAAGGAGATGGTCGTTTCCTTGATTCGGTATTCTTTACTTTTTCATCAACCCTACCCTTCTCTTTCTCTTTATCTTTTGATATATCATGATAGTCAATCCTTTCAGTTCTAGCATGCCTTCCATGCTCTACGTCTTCCTTCTTGTCAATTCTTTCTCTGGAACTTTCTGAATCCTTGCGGTCTTTCTTAACCGAGCTCTTTTTGTTTTCATGTCTATCATTCTTATCATATCTAATCCCACTAGTTTGGATTTGGGAATCATCATTAACTAAACTTCTGGCATCCAGATTTCCATCTGGTCTGGTGTTTCTTTGAGAAGCCTTTTCAGTGAAAGATTTTTTTATCTTGGAAATGTCAGAACCATGTTGCAACTCATCTTCTGCACTACCAGACAGTCTCTCAGAGGAACGCCGATCATCACTGGATGCTAACTCTCTAGCTGCCTTATTATCATTGAACTCTGGATTCGCAACACTACGATCAGGAGTGCCATCGGTCAACAATTTTGCAGGAGCATTTCCTTTTTCTTCTGTTTCTTCCCTGGAACCACCGTTCTCAGTGACAAGATTACCTTCAAAATGCTTGCTTGAGGACGATTGCTGATTCGATGGTCTTCCTTTCGTATTCAGTTTACCTGAACTCTGTATCTCCTCATCTTCCTCATCTGTGCCATAACTAGCCAGACCTAGTACATTTCCAGGGGTGCCAGAGGTAGATACACTAGTATCCTCATAACCAATTTCTTTAATTTTGCTTGGAATCAGAACCTTTGCAGAGGCCTTGGGAGTCAAAACAGGAGGAGCAGATGGTAATTGTTGGTGGTTTGACAAGGCATGGCCAACTGAACCTAAAAAGGGGCATGAAAAGATACATTAATATGCAAAAGAAGAGACCAAAAGGGTACTGAATCATTTCTTGCACACTGATTCTAATCAAACCACATAAAAATTACCATAGGATAACGAAAAAGATGGAATATGTAAAAACAGTCTTGTGGAAGTCACCTTCAATGGAGTGATCATCTTCGTTCAGAACTTTGGTTGCTATTTCATCAAAAAGTTCATCAGTAACCTGCCAAAGAACATATGGTCAAAAAACATGCCTGAAAGTGTAACTTGGAGTTTATTAGTTGTTGACCAGCCGCAACCTTCAAAAGGACTTCAGTCAGCACGCGCTTTATCTCCTGGTTGATAGCTGCAGTTCGAGCAGCTTCCACCTCGTCCTATAAAGAGAAAAAAGTGTTGGAACATAAATCATAATCTATAAAAATAACTATGCCATAACGAAAAGTCAAAGAAGAAAAGTTACATTAGGAACAATACTGTAACATGCTCACAATCAACCATAAAGTACACTGAATGTGATGCTCCAAAATAAGTGAATGAAATCTCCACCATCTCTAATATTTCATAGAAAGGATAATTTAAAAAAATTAAGAGAGATAGAGAAATAGAGAGAAAAGAGAATCACCTCATCCTCATCCTCATCTTCCATTGATCTAGAAGAATCAATGCTTTTGGTATCTGCTTGATCTCCCTTCCTAGAATACTTATCATTAATATCTTCTTCAATGGGCTGGGAATCCTCTTTCGGAATCTCATGGGCAGAACTTGTGATAACAGTTTTGTTCTTAATTATTTCCTCTCTGAGCCAATTAGGTACCGATGCCTGAAATTCAAAAGAATTACTTCATATTAGAGTGGTTACTAAATGCCAAGCTGCTAATAAAAGAGAACTTACCTTTTTAGGACGCTCCATAACACCATAAGCTTCTCCAGAAAAAGCCATAGGATGAGGTGTTACACCTGGGCCAACACCAAAAGCAGCACCCATCATTGGGACAGTTGGTTGGAAACCAGGTCCAGTAGGAAACATTGGAGCCGAATGTCCAGAAGCTGGAGAAGACATAGCTATTGGATGATCAACCTATGGAATATGAAACGAGTCAAATACATTAATGAACATGGAAACAGGTGCACACAATTACAAGAATATACAGATTTTAGATCCAAAACCTGTGGCCCTGGTGGAATTGTTGGAGGTACTGAAGGATAAATGACCCCTGTTGCAGATGAGGGAGCCCATGAATAGTTCGAAGATGTAGCTACTGTAGGATCCCCACCTCTTACAGGACCTCCTGAAGAATGAGCATAGCTGGGTTGTATATGAGGGTCCAAGTCACGGTTAAAATGTGGTGCAAAAGTGAGAGGCTGATTGCTTAGATCGGTTGGAGTCTCAGCTGGCTGATTACCAACTAAATGATGATGCTGCTCCATCCATCGCGATCTGTCCACTGAAGGTGGCAGCGTCTGCACATGGTGCTGTAAGAGAGATGAGGAGCTATTGAATCCTCCATATCTATCTCCAGCCTCCTCATTACCTGCAATAAAGAATAAAAATCAGGAAGCTTTCCTGGTCAATACACACCAGCCTTACTCGAAAGAAAATTCGAAGTTGCTACATGGCTAACAGTGGTGTGAGCAAAAAAAGAGTTTTCCATTTGGCAAAATGAAAACTCCAACTTAAAATTGAAGTTGTATTTGACCATATCAATATGTGGTCTGCTTGATAATGGATAACCTTCCGATTGGTGACAACTCTTTGACCAAACTAAGTAGCCGATGTAGCTCTATTAACCCGTTTTGGTTAGGTTCTCAAAAAGCTATTAGAACAACTCCCAGAAAGTTATAACACTAAACCAAGTCTTAGCAATCGGTTGATTTGTTTTTCTTCCTTTTTCCTATCATATGCATTTCTATTTTCTTTTTCTTTTTTTTTTGGTAGTGGTTATATCTTATTTGAACATTCTTAATTGCAGACAACAGATTCAGTGTCTTGAGCAGAAGATTCACACGCAATATCGATATACTAATTTAGTTTTTACCTGCAACAGAAGAATAACTAGAAGGTACCTCCTGCTGATGGACTAATGGACTTATAGATGATTTCTCTTGCTGCAGGTATGGTGCATTTGAATCTCCAGTTAGGCTTCCATCTCTAGCAGCAAACGGCACATGCGAGTCTGGAGCATAAGCTGATTGTCCAGTGCTGATGTACTGTGAATCATGCGACTGACCTAACCCTGACCTGTTTAAGGGGCCTGCTGTACCTGGGTACTGTTGATAATTTGATAACTGAGGATCAACTGATTGAGAATATTGATCACGGAAATGATTCTGCTCTTCTGGTCTTCCGGCTGCTACAAACTGTGACGAAGTGTGTTGATTGTCTGTAACAGCTTTTCCAGCAGCCCATGCTCTAGCTTTTGCTGCCCAATCTTCTTCATTGTTATTTGCTGCAGCCGAACGATGAAAATTCAACACAGACTTGCAACAAAATATACAATTAAAATTTCATGCTGTTCAGAACTTCAAGTATCACACATTCAGGAAATTAAAGGAAAGGTAACTACGTGATGGAAGGTCAACAATGAGTACTTCTCATCTTAACTTCTATTTAAAAAAAAAACCTATGTACTGATTATCAAGCTGCGGAAAATAGATGAACAGAGATTCGATCCCAAGAAAGAGATAATATATATACAAAAAAAATGTCTTCAGACAGAAAATTGTTTACTACAGCCTTAACAAACAAGAAACAAGAAAATAATAAAGATTAAAGTATCCAAGCATAACAAATCAAAGAATAACTATCTTCAAGCAAAATAGAAACTAATGTACTGACTTGGGTACTGCCAACTCTGGTGTTGACTCCAGCTGCCATTCCCCCAATCCTACAATAATATCGATACATTGTTAGAAATCCAAAAATATTCACCTTAAGAATGTTCATACTGTAGTACGATACCAAACCGTAACAGATGTCTAAGCAACTAATATTTGGAAGTCCATATAATACATGTGCAAATATGACACTTTAGCAATGGTTAATATAAGAATATGAGGTTAATGTTAAACATACATTACTAAATTAAATAATTTGATAGATTTTTTTAAGAATAAGCAAGCAGGTTGATGGATTTTTTAAAGAAATTTCGCATCAATGAAGAAAACTTTCGCAGGAATTGGTTCACTCACATGTTTAGCATCTATTATGGCATTCCGAAAAATAATTTGATTTCACAGATAACCGACTGGCATTAATCAACTTCTTTAAGATAGACTTGAGCTAAGATTGACAAAACTAAGAATAAAGGATTTAGCACAAAATCGGAGCATATTATCCACGGCTACTATACTAACAATAACCAACCTCGGATAAGAAAATGGATGAAGAAAAACTATAAGCAAATCACTCAAAACCTTGGAGCAGTATATATAAGAAGCAAACAACATAAAATTACGGCCATGTTTTCCCATCATTTCAGCAAATAAAATTCGGTTAAATCGTAACATCAATGCCAGGCAACTATAATCAAATCCCTCAAAAGCGGAAGCCAGAACAGTTTCACCGGCTATTCAATCTCCGAACTGATTTTTTTTCACTTAAAATGAGGCATTACCAAAGACCTAGCTCAATCACAGAGCAAACCACCCCTAGAAAGCCTAATCTTACAATTCAACCAGGAAAATCAATGCTCCTGAATCTACAGTTCGATGTAAATCAAACCGAATTTAAAAAATAAATAAATAAATAAATACCTGCGAATAAGATTGGGCAACATGAGGCGGTCTTGGCGGATACGGGTGTGGGGGTGGGTAGTGAGAGTGCGTAGGGTAAGGTGGGGGCTGATGCGCGGAATAAGGAGGAGGAGGGGGAGGAGGAAGAGGATACTGGTGATACTGAGCGTTGTCGGAGGAGTTAGGTGGCGGCGGGGGCGGCGGCGGCCACTGCGGCGGAGGAGGAGATGGGGAGTGTTGAGTTTGAGGTTGATACTGAAATTGAGTAGCGGAGTAAGGCCAGGGGTGGTTGGAAGGTGGCGGAGGGAGTGGAGGTGGTGGTCTTGGATAGGGATCCGTCGCGGACGGAGGCTGCTGCTGCGGCGGCGGTGGGGGTGGAGGCGGTGGTCTCATGTAGCCGTGGGGCTGCTGGTATTCCATATCGGAATTAATTTTTTTTTTTTTTTTTGCCCAAATATCTGTTTGGGTTTAAGGGTTTTATTATTGGTCGACCTTTTTCTTTTAATGTTTCTCTTCTGAGTTGGTGAAGCCAAATTGAGAACGAAAGGGGCACTTTCAGAAACACGAATCTGTAAAATAATAATATAAATAATAATTTAATAATAAATTTTCTGTAGAAGACATGTTATAAAGGGACAATTTAGTAATTTGGCACCTACTAATATTTTGGTAATTAACATTTCATTTAAATGTTTTCGTGTTCATCAAATTATTTGACTATTTGAGCAAAGAATTTCCATCCAAATGCATATATTAAAAATAAATGTTCATCGAATATTTTTTTTGGAGCTCAAGCTCGAGTTCAGTTGGACGATCTTAAACTCATTTTTAGTTTTCCTTTTTTTTTTTAATTTTAGATTAATATTGTGAACATTATATTAAGTGTTATTTAATACTATAATAAAAAAGGGCAAATTCCGTCGACCCCTTAAGGTAGGTCAAATTACGAAAAAAAAAAAAAAAAAAACCTTCTTATTTGGGTAATTACAGTCACTCCTCCTTTTAAATATTTTTACATAAACTTTATGTAATTCGGTTACTTACCGAACCAAATCGTATATTCAGTTCGGTAAACAGTATAAAATATTGGCGTACCGAAATTTCAGTTCAGTTTTACCGATTTAACATCCCTAAATTTACCTCTAGAGCAATATTTTCGTAAGATACATAGTTGAGGAGGTGACTGTAATTACTAAATAAAAGAGGGTTTTCTTAATTTGACCATAACTCGGGGTAGCCGTAATTTGCCCTAATAAAAAAAATTTAAACATGACCTAAAATTATTTATTTATTACATTATTTTACTTTGTATAATTATATACTAAATATTTATAATTAAAAAATGATGAAAGAAAACTGACGAGTCAGCTCATGATCAACTAAAAATGTTTGAACTTAAGCTCGAGCTTGCATCGCTACTAATTTACACCACTAATGGCAAAAATAATTTTGTATCATAAACCTAGTTTTGTCATTACCTCATTTATAGTAAGTAAAGAAAATATAGGGTAAATGGCAAATAGGTCCATGACAAGGGCACTTAATTAAAAGAAGGGCATCCAACTTTTTTGTCTTTCAAATAAATCCAGCACATTCAAACTTATTTGCAAATAAGGAAAATCCTTTTATATATACCAAAATTACCCACAATTCATTGAAACCCAATTCAACTCCAATTTCATGATTTACACCACAATTTAGCCAAATTTCATCAATTAACCAATTTTAACCATAATTTCAATTTTGACCCGCCACCACCGGAGACCGCCAGTCGTCGCCGTTGACCGCCGGTCTCCGGCGTTGACTTTTTTTTTTTTTTTTTTTTGAAAAACTTTTTTTTCCCAGAATTTTTTTTCCGGCCGGTCAACTGCCGTTGACCGCCGGGTCTCCGGCGTTGACTTTTTTTTTTTTTTTTTAATAATTTTGTTTTTTCTTAAAAAAAATATTTTAATTAATATTACTGTCTTGTCTGCTAAATTACTGTCTCCGGCAGTTATTTAACTGTCGGAGACAGTAATTTAACTGTTAATTGATTTTTTTTTTTCTTCAAAAATATTTTAATTAATATTACTGTATTCGTTGCTAAATTACTGTCTCCAGCAGTTATTTAACTGTCGGAGATAGTAATTTAACTGTTAATTGACTTTTTTATTCTTAAAAAAAAAAAATTAATTAATATTACTGTATTCGTTGCTAAATTACTGTCTCAAGCCCGTTATTTAAACTGTCGGAGACAATAAATTTAACGGTTAATTG